CTTCTGAAATCAATTTTTGGCTTTACCCTTGCGTGCATTATCCAATATCCTTTCTCATCCAAACTTTCTCTGAGATATCAAAGTTCAAAGGAACTGAAGGTGATCGATTAATCAAATACATTACAATGTTGATTGCTTCACCCCAGAATTGCTTAGGTAGAATTGCCAGTCTTAGCATGTATCGGACTTTCTCCACAATGGTATAGTTCATCTGTTCTACAATGCCATTGTGTTGTGAAGTGCCAAGAACCGTCTTCTCATGCCTTATGCCATGCTTTGAACAATAGTCTCTGAATTCTTTGGAGATGTACTCCCCTCCATTATCTGCATGGTAATGTTGAAAATAATTGAATACTTGGCTTTTATTCTACAACAAATATACCCAAGTCTTTTGAGTCACATCATGAATAAAGGTAACAAAATATTTATTGCTACCAAATGACTCCACCTACAAGCGACCACAAACATCAGAGTAGACCAAGTCTAGCTTGTTCTCATTCCAAGTCAAATTCTTTTGAAAAGAAACTCCGCATTGCTTTCCAAATAGGCAATCATAAGGATCCACATGTTCACCTTTGCTAGTGGGAATAAAAGACTGCTTGGCCAAAAGTTGTAATCGTTTGCCACGCAGATGAGCTAATCTTCTATGCCATAAATTTGGAGAAGCATCATCTCCAACTGTGTTCAATTGATCTCCATACATTTTCATGTGTGTCTTGTATAATGAGCAACATGCTCTTCCTTTTGCCACCACCATCGATCCTTTAGTGAGTCTTCAGCTACCATTTCCAAAATAGTGTGTGTATCCTTCTTCATCTAGTGCTTTTGCAAATAGTAGGTTCACACGTATATCAAGAATATGTTGCACATTTTTCGAGGTCAATGGTGCACCCAACCTTGGTCTGGACACAGATATCACCAATATCCATAATATGAGAAACACTATTGTTTCCCATGTTTATGGTGCCAAAGTCTCTTGTTTGTAGGTTGAAAAATGTTCCCTTTTGGGAATGTAGTGATAAGAGGCACTAAAATCAATTATCCACTAGTCATTTGAGTATTTTATAGGGCAGCACTCACCACGATCACATAGTAAAGTCACGTCATTGCCACTAATATATAAATGCTACAATGATAGTATTGCTATCATCAACTTCTTTCTTATCTTTCCTTTCAACAAGTTGCAATTCCTTTTCATGTGGGTTAGCTTCCCACAGTGATAGCATTTCACTCTACTTCTAGACTTGGATCCAGATCTACCTCGTCTTCTAGGTTTTCTAGTTTTACTCTTGCCCATGTTCTCTGTGATAAGAGCTTGAGTGTTTGGCTACAAGAAGATTCTTAGTGCTTGCATCCTCTTTTCCTCTTCCAAGATCTTGTTTTTGGTAATTTCTAATGTGACTTTACCAC